GACGGGAGGTGTCAGGAAAACGGCCTCTAATGGGATGCGCCGTGGATCGTATCAGGCAGAGGGACGGGGTCAGGAGACTCCCACTCACTCCCCTCAGCCGCCGCCTTACCATCAGCACACCTCCCTGGTCCCTCGGCCCCTCATCACTAAAATGAGGCATCGTCAGCTGCCTGGCAACCTCACAGATGGCCAGGAGCTTGACACGAAACCGCACGCGTGAGCACTGTGTAAAGCGCGGGGGACCCGCAGCATTGGGCGGTGAGGTTCCCCCAGGACAGCGTTGTCATGAGGCTGTGGCCGGTGGGACCAGCAGCAGGGAGACAGGGTCGAGGTAGACGTATAGCCCACAGCCAGGCCTGGGCTGGTTTTGTGGATGAAACGAGGTGGAGTTGAAGAGAGAGGCAGGTGGTGAGGATGGCTCACCCTTAGCAGCTCTGACTTGAGAGTTTCTGGTGGAAAGATCCGTTCTCTTACGTAGCATGTGCTTCTCCCATAGCTGAGGGCTGGCTGCTCACACAGCTCCCAACCACTCCCAAGAGGAAAGTGGCGGCTTGAGTTAGCGGCTAGCCTTCAGCTCCCAGACGCCAGCCGGCACGTGTGGGCATGAGCATCTGCCCTTCGGGGTCTCAGCAAAGCCACCATCCTGTCCTGGGAATCACCGAGTGCGACCCACACCGGCCTTTCCCGAATCTCTCAGACTGCTTTTGAGGAGGGGATTCCCTTCCCTCCTCAGGCAGGCAGAGGGCTGGGATCTATTCCCTTGCCATTGGGTCTCTTTTCTGGCAGAGATGTGCCTCCTCCTGCCAGCCCTGTCCTCTGGGGCACGCACAGTTGGGTCAGCCCTCCCGTGGGGGGCACCGTGCCCAGCACCGTGGGAACATGATGTGCGGGAGCTGTAGCTGGTGCCCGGCGAGGGCTCCTGGGGGAAACATGATTGATTCCAGGGAGGGGAAGTGGAAGACAACAACGGGGTGCAGGAGCAGACTTTGGAGTGGGATTGGTGGCGGAATTTGGGCCAACAGAAATGGAGCTTGCCGAGCAAAGGCCCAGTGGCAGGAAGGCTCTGGGCACATCAGGGACTTGCAGCCCAGGGCTGCTGGAGAGTAGGTTCTGGGGGTGGTGTCTTCAGAGACAAGGTTGAAAAAGGTGGCTGGAACCAGATCGTGGGTCCCTGGACTTTGTCATTTCTGAAGTGAACAAGAAAGACGCAGATGTGGCTGGGGCTGAGCATGGGGAACGACACTGGCGCCAGCTGGCTCTGGGCCCAGGGAGGAGAGGACAGGGACGAAGGGATGAGGACAGATTCCCCAGGGGACAGTGCTGAACTCTCCCCGGCACTCTGCCTACCTGGTTCCTCTTACCTGAGGCATCACTTTCTCTGTGAAGTTCCCCTGGGTATCCCCACCACAGCCCCAGCCAGGTGAGGTCCGGAGCCCACGCTCTGTGCTCCATTCTCCCCGCCCCAGAACGGTGAGAAATGCATTTCTGTGGTTTTAAGTCACACACTAGTACAGAGAGTGAAGAAGGAGTCAGAGGTTGTTGGGAGTTCGGAGCCGGAGCGGCTGGAGGTGAGTGGGGTTGTGCTTAACCTACGTGGGGGTGCAGGAGAGAGGCAGCCGGATGGAACTGTAGACGCCAAGTTAAATTCGGAGGGCCCCCAGGACACTGTAAAAGCCATGCCTAAGCATTGCTGGTGGGGCCTTAGCAACGCGAGCTGCCTTGTGTCCATCAAGGCTGGCAAGGTTGCCATGGGGCCTTTGGTGCACATTTAAACTCACCGACCCAAAGAAGAGACCCGAGCAGCCCCATTTGCACCCTCCCAGGTCTGTCTCAGACTTTGTTCCCAGTGACCAATTTGAAGATTTCATTAGAAACCAAAGAATTGTTCTGTATTTCTTTTTTTCTTTTTCTTTTTCTTTTTCTCTTTTTCTTTTTCTTTTTCTTTTCTTTTTCTTTTTCTTTTTCTTTTTCTTTTTCTTTTTCTCTTTCTCTTTCTCTTTCTCTTTCTCTTTCTCTTTTTCTTTTTGTTTTTGTTTTTGTTTTTGTTTTTCTTTCTTTTTCTTTTTCTTTTTCCGGAACGCGTTTGGCTGCAGCAGTTGCTGTCCCTGCCTCCTGGATTGAGTTGGGCTCGGAGAGTCCTTGAACAGAGCCTGAGTTTGAACTGATCAGTGGCATTTGGGGGTTGGACCATTGCTCAGGAGCCAGCTAATTTATAATGTCACATGGGCTAGACGAGAAGACCCAAGAGGATAGGCTGTCTCTTGGCTTTTTATCTCTTCTTTTTGAAAAAGGAAAGGGAAAACAGAACGTGCCACGCTTGGCTGTTCAGCATTCAGAGATGAACTCCGTCCCCGCTAGACCCTGGGAACATGGGGGCCGTTTCTCCGCCCACACCCCCTTGCCTCCCAGAGACCTGGCAGCCGCACTGAGGCATCCTTTCCGGCTTTGGACGCCGGCCCCTGTGGGCGCCGAGTCTGGCTCTAACTAATTTGCAGAGGACACCTGTTCCTTAATTAGCCCTAGCCTGCGCCGTGTGTCTTGGTCTGGGCTCCCTCTGATGCGTGAGCTAGCGGCCGTGCAAGGGCTGCCGTTGGCGGTCTGTGCACATTTGCACTGACCACGCGGGGCCCTGCGCTTCCCGCTTGCAGAGTGGTGCGGTCAATCTGTGCTCCCAGAACCACATCCCGGCCACCAGCCCGCCGTGGGTGTCATAGCTGTTGACCAAATCTTCCAAAAGAACCCTCCACCTCCAGGCCCCACTGCTGTCCCTAGAACCCGATGTGGGAGGGCCAGGCAGGGGTGGACCCTCATTCTGAGCCCCTCTGCCCTCCTGCTCCCCACCACTCGGATGGCATCACATGTACACTTCCTGCTCAGCCTTTTTCAGATGTGCCTGTATGCTTAGTGTCTTTAAAAAGAGGGAAGCTCTTGGGGGACTGGGATCTCACCCTACAGGGTTTTATAAAATACATTCTCTTGTGTCAAAGGATCTTGGTGAACAGCTGCCAGGGAGGAGGTTGAAGACGGATCTAGCATCTGGGAGAGGACCTGGCAGGCTGCAGTAGCAGGATTCCCCGCCTGCCTTTGGGGCTGGTTCCGTTGCACAGCGCCCTGCCCCCTGCCTCCCCCCCTACTTCCCCACCTCGGTTTTACATAGTAGAACCTTCTGAAAACCAGTCTTTAGGCTTCAGAGATGAGCTCCGACCTCCCACATAAGCTGCCCCTAAGAAAATGTCCAGCGTGTGTGCAGTGGGCACCGCAGGTCGGAGGGGAGGCCCCCACACCTGCCGAGGGCACTCCAAGAGTCCAGTTTTGAGCAGCCCACGGTTGTTTGGAAACATTTGTGGCCAGTGGCTTTGTATATATTCTTCCTCAAGATCTCTCCCTCTCCCTCCTTTCAAGAAAGAAATTCTGTTGAAGTCTCCCTAAAGTGGTTATTTTCCTAAAGGACGGGCTGATGGTGCTGCAGGCCGGCTTGTGTGGAGCTGCTGACTCTGCCTCACTGAGTCCGGCCTGCAGGGGACGCCACCTCCCCCGCCGCCCCACCCCCACCCCAAGCACCCCTGGCCTAATGGCGCTTCCCCTCCTCCTGGAGGAAGCAGAGCTGGCTCCAGGCCCCCAGCAGAAAGCCCTTTCCAGAAGTCTCCCAGCCCTGGAGCCTGCCTGGAGGCCTCGTCCCCCAGCTAATTAGAGCCTTCCCCTTAAGCGGTACTTTAGTCTTTGGTGTCATCCTCACAGTGATAATGGACTTGGATAAGCCTCAGCTTCTCCCACTTCCCGCTGTCCTTGCGGATGGGGGTGGGAGAGAGACGGGCACAGCCCCCCTTCCACCAGCACCCGCCCGCCTGTCACCCTGTCACGGGGGAGCCAGGGGGGGGGGGGGGGGACTGGCCGCCAGGCTGAGCAGCTGTGATGTCTCCTCCCAGGTCACAGGGCCAGAGCCCAACTCCCCAGAGTGGGCCCTGCTCCCCATATTCGGGCCTTCGCCGCCTGCTGTACCTCTGGCGAGTGTCATTAGCATTAACATGATAAAATGGCGCAGTGTAAATGTTAATAAGGTCTGTTGCCTCCGCTGCTTCCGAGTGGCAGATTGGAAATGGTACCATCATCATAACTCCAACCAGCAGCTTTTAATTCCTCTGCTCCCTCAGCAACCAGTTTGGCATTGGAAATCCTAACCTTCCCTCAGCCCCTAGCCTGGCTCTGCTGTGCCAGGCTTACCCCCATTTTCCTTTGCAGAGAGGGTTCACATTTCCCAGAGACTGGTTTTCTGAGATAGGGTTTGAATTTTTTTTTTTCTAAGTAACCACTTGGTTTTCCTTATTCCCCATAGGGGAAGAGCACTGAGCCCCGAATTCAAGTCCCACTTTTCCTGGCTGTGGTCCCGTCCCTTCTTGGTCCAGGATGGTCCTCTGAGAGATTTGCCCCGGAAGCCGCTGGCTCTGGCTCGCCAGGCTTTCCCTTCTTTCAAGTCATAAACTTTGCTGATTAACAACATCCTGCTCAATCCTTTCCTCTGAACCTTCAGCACAGCGTTCTCTCCACTGCGCTGTCGGGGCCCCTGCATCCGCTCCTCCCTGTTTGCTGTCTGCCCTGTAAAGCTGGGGGCCCAGGGTGCGCCTGGGTTCCTCTCAGATCCTAATCTTCCTGCTGTCTCACCCCTCATCGGGGCTCGTGCCCGGCTCCGTGCAGGGCCCGGGAACCCTGAGCATTTGCTGAAGAGAAGTAGCAGGTGATGTCCCTGGGGTGATGCCTGGGGCTTGCCCAGAAAGTTGTCTCAGGACAGGAGGCCTGAGGAACAGCCCAGAAGCACGGTTCTGGATTTCTGTTGCACCCCTGGGAACTCCCCACTCGATGCTGTTGGCTCCCGGGGAGCCTCCACTGGCCCAGGTGCATACCGGGGCAGAGGCCACGTGGACAGTGTGTCCTCCGATACACACGCGCCGTGTGCCGTGTGCACCCGGCCCCTGCACCCCCTCACGCTTGTTTCTGTCACCCAGGCTGTCTTCACTCTCCTCCTCGGACCCTTCACCTTCTTTGACGTCCAGAAGACCAAGTACCTGCAGATCCTGACCTCCCTGATGAGATGGGTTGGTGAGTGAGAGACCTCTCGCGTCTGCCCTTTCTCTTCTCGTCCCTTCCTTACACTTTCCAAGACGGCTGTGTGTGCTCACGGCACAGCTGGAAGGTGGCGGGGGCTCCAGGGACTCCCGAGAGCCAGGAGCGGGGCAGGGGAAACACAGTCCCGACGAAGATCACATAGTGTGGATGGAGCCCGAGCTCAGCCCGGCCTTTCTCACAAGCCCATGCGGGGTCCCTCCGGTCCCCCCAGGCTAGGCCAGGGCTCCTGAAGGCCCCGGGTCAGGCTCTGCTCCCTCAGGGCACGAGAGTGGCACAACCATAAATCCCAGTGGCCTGTGGCAGCCGCCTCCGCGTTGCCGGCAGTGGGGCATGAAAAGACACCCCATCCAGGATGCCTTCTGACTGATGCCCTCCTGAGCAAGAGCACCATCGTCCTCGGGGGTGGTTTGGGGGTCTGTCCCCCAAAGCAGGTTTGTGGTAGGGAGCTCATTCATTCCTCCGCACCATCCCGGAAGGCCCCACTGCTGAGCCCCCTAGACCGGAGACAGGAGGGTGTGGGGTCCCTATCGTCCGGCACATGCTCTGGGATCATTTGTATTCCTGTTTTGGTCTAAAAGCAAAGAATACCATTGCTGTTGTAATTGAGAGGCCTGGCAGAGGGTGTCTGCCCAGCCTCCGGCACCTCGCTTGCCCCAGCACAGAGGTTCCTGAGGAAGCCGAGGTTGGGACTCCTCCCTCCTGACCCTCTTCTCTAGCTCACTTTGCTGCTGCATCTGCCCCAGCGCCCCTCCTCAGGATTCAGGGTGCACCCTGCTCCTCACTCCACGCCATCCCTCAACACTGGATCCTGACGAGCACAGAACAGCTTCTGATAAAAATGATTTCCAGTAGTTCTCGCACATCCTGCTCAGGATTATAGAAGCCCAGTACAAGGAGCCATTGCCAGGGATCCTGGCATCTTCAGTCGGGAGGGACCATGGCGGTCATCCAGCGTAGTCCCCGCTCCCGCAAGGGCAGGCTCCGCAAGCATGCACACAGGGTGGCCTCTTGGCCCGGAGCTCACGATGGGGAAGACCCCTGCCCCACTCAGAAGGGATGGTTGTCAGCACTGGGAAGTCCTGCCTTGTCTTGAGCCCAGCTCGGCAGCCTGTAACCTCTTCCCACCTTGGTCCTTCCTTACGCGGAATTGAGAGCAGGACTGCGTCATCTGCTATGTTAGCCTTGAGGCCTCGAACATGATACGCCTGTCCTTCATCACCCAGCCAAGTCAAGGAGTAGGAGGACACTTGTCCAGTGCCTGGGTGGAGCGGGATTCCTGGTTTCCCCACTCAGCTGGTCCAATCCTGTATGCTCCGACAGGGTGCGGTTTGCAGATTTTATTCACACGTTTCAAAGCCCCAGGTTAAAGTAGCATGACCCCCTGGGGAAAAATGAGAACTTTAGAACACAAGGCTCACGCTGGCTCCAAGGATAAGATGCTGGAATGGAGCCCCTGTGGGTCCCAGGAGGGCTTACCTCCCAAAGTTGGGATCAGCAAGGATCACAATCCCTGCTGTCCACCCTTCTCCTTATGAGTCTGCTCATAGGAAGGAGGTGAAAGCCCTAGTGACCTAGGAAGAGTTTTCTCAGTAAAGCAGTCTTTAAAGTATGCCCCCTCTTGTCTGCCTGGCCCACCTCTGTTGTCACCGCTCCTCTGCTTCCGGCAGCAGGTCCCAGAGTCCCGAAAGTCCTGCCCTTCCCCCACTCAGGACTGGCTGTCCTTGACCTGCTGCCTCAGTGGTCCTCACCCGGGAGGGCAGGAGCAGGGTGGGGAGAGGTGGGGGGGACTCCTATGCTTCAGCCAGCATGATGGATCCCCGCGTCAGCCCAGGAGAGGGCTGCCCAGACAGTGACGGTTAATAGCTTCCGTGACACCCCTGAGCTTGTTGAGCGTGACCAAGTCCTCCCTGCGTCTGGTGAGCGAAACGTTCATTAAAAGGGAGGAGATTGTTAAGAGGGAGGGGAGGAGGCTGGTGGTAAACAAAGAGTGAGTGTCTCAGTACAGGGTGGGAGACCCTTCCAGACTCAGCTCCTCCTGCAGAGAAGGCACTGGGCTTCGGTTGCCAGCCGGACCCTGGGGGCCTCCCAGGCATCTGAGAGCAGCCCTTGCCCCTTTCCCACACTGCCCTCGGAGCCCTCTCCTCCTCTCAGAATGGAACCACCCTGCCTCCTGTGACCGCATTTTGCCTCCCCTTCTCCCAGCCAGAGCCCCCTCCCACTGGCCAGCAAGGCTGGATAGCCCCAGGCACTGCAGCGGGGATGCTCCCGTCTCCCTCCCTCAGGCTCCTGGGCCCTGCGAGGTGACAGCGGCCTTGGGAGGCAGCAGTGAGGGCCTGAGGGAGAGAGCGGCACGTGAAGGTCATCCACACTCATGTTTTTGCATGGTGGCATTGTTGTCACTGCAAGTCGTCTGCCTCTTTTCTCCCTTCGATCTGAGAGATAATCAAATGGCACTGGCCTTTCCGCAGACCTGTTATCCAGAGCGTTCTGGGTGACCATGCAGGCAGTCATTCTTCTCCCGAGAGGCTCAGACCCCTGCGCCTGGAAAGCTAACCTCTCTGTGACACAAAGCCCTCAGAAGCGAAAGAAAAATTGCCCAGTTAAGTAAACTCTAGACTGTACCCAAGCCTAGGGTTCAGTTCCAGGCAGGGGCATGGGAGCCACCTGGGCCCTTTCCTCCCTGGTGGTGGGAGAGGTTTCCCTCATTGTGGCTCCGGGGCTGCCGCAGGCAGGGAGCCGAGGAGGGGGACGGCAGGGATGGAGGAGTCCCAGGGAGCTGCCAGGCACCAGCGAACAGACAGCCCTGTTGCAGGAAGGACCGGGGTCTGCATGCGGGATGTTTGCGGGGGGGGGGGGGTGGCGTCCTCTCCTCTGGCCTGAGCTCACCCCAGGTGGCCCTCCAAAAGCAGAAAGTACCAAAGCCCCTGTGTCCTCTCCAGTCTGCTCCAAGTGGTCAGTTTGTAACAAACTCCTTTTCATTTTGCTTCTGAGAAGCAGCTGTGTGGCCGTGTCCCCCCCCCCGACCCTCCCTCCTTTCCCACACTCCCACACACCCTGCCCCTTCCCTCTCCCCAGATTAGGGCCCAGACTGTCCAAGAGAGCCAAGCGGGAGCGCGGGGTGGCAATAAGCCGACTTGGGTTCTAGGAAGACAAAAGGGAAGAATGAGCACCAAAGGGACCGGAAAATCATAAATAAATGTGCTGAGCCGGAAACTTTCTTGTGCTTAATTAGGAATTTGTTCTGCCATCTGTTGAAATGAGGCTGGGGAAGACTGCAGAAGCCCCGCCCCGAGCAGGGCCCCCTGAGCTTAGGACCCGGCCCAAGCCTTCAGGCCAGCAGCCCTCCTCCGGTTATTAGCGTCTCCTGCTGCCCAGAATGCGCCTTTGCCGATAGCCACTTGTCCAGGAAAATGTCGCAACCTGTATGACAAGTGCCAGTGTTGAGTCATCTCTTGTTCTCCCCAAATAAGTTGTGGGCAGCCCTGGCGGGTCAGTTTGGGAGATCCGGATCCCAGGTGCCGTCCGGCAGTGAGACTGCTGTGCGGGCTTCAGCCGACTTCCTGACCGGCCCTGCTTGCTGTCCCATCACTCACCCCGGGGCTTCGGCTCTGGCGCTTCCCCCCGTTGTTCCCTTCCATGCCGGTCCCGTGCACGGACAGCCCAAGCCTGCCTCAGCCAGGTTCCTTGTCTGGGGCAGGACCCGCCCCCCCCAACCATGGAGCAGCCGCGAAGATAAAATGGGATCCGAAATCGTGTGCAGAGGGCTGTTAGCACTGTGCCTGGCCGGGGTCAGCACTCAGGGAGCAGCCGCGATGTGCAGCCCCGCCATCATCATTTCTGTTGGCCGGTACATCCCCGGGGGTGGCCTCAGCAGGAGCCTCCCTTGGGGCTGGCCATGAGATCAGGGACATGGCCCAGGCCACCTCCGGGAGGAGCAGTGGCTCTGGCAGTAAGACCTCTCCAGTTGGCTCTGTCAGCCTTCCCTCTGCCTCACGCCAGCACTGGTCCCCCATGCACCCAGGCACCCCACCAGCCTCCACCCTCACCACTTTCAAGGAAGCTTGAGCCTGAGAGAAATGAGAAGCAGGTGCATCTCACAGAACAGCCTGGGGCTTCTTCTTTAGGTCCTGGTTCTCGCTCTGTCGGTGGCCAGTAGACTGGGGACACTTGGGAGAGACACGGCCAAAAGTGCTGTCCCACAGGCCCAGTAGCTGTGGCCACAGAGCCTGAGCCCTAAACCCCCAAGCAAATGACTGTAGACTGTCCCCACCTGGGATGCTGACATGAGCTGTCCAGCAGGAGGGGCTGAGATGGCATCATTACTTCACCCCCCTTACCAGCTTCAGCTGCAGACGCTTCCCAGTTGGGGACGCACACAGCTGGCTCAGCTCGGGGTGCCCCACTTGGTGTTATTAAAAACCTGATTCTTTCTAATAAAGACTGCTCTGGAGCACGGCAGCCCTCCTCGGTCTGGGCTGGCGAGGACCCACGGGGCTCCTTTCTCTGGTTGTGTGTTCAGAGCAGCGTGGTGCTCATCACGCCCGTCTCTGTGCTCCCCTCAAAGTGGGTCAGGCACCAGCCTCTCTGAGTGTCCGTGGGCAGACTCGAACCTCATGAAGCGCCTCAGCCCAGCTTTCCCTTCCTCCCCCCAGCAAGTGCCCCAGATTTGTCTTCCAGACCGAGCCAGCAGGGAGAGTTGGGACTCGGCGGTGGTGGCCTGAGTAGCAGAAGGTCCCCAGGAGGAGACCGTCACCTGGGGACATAAGGGCTCTGCTTTTACCGGTCCCCAAAATTCTCTGCGGCTGCTTGGCTGACTCCACTGCAGATCCAGGACTGATTCAGCTGAGTGCCTCGTGGTGGGGCTGCTCTGACCTGTCACCAGCAGCGGCCAGGGGTCTTCTCTGCCTGGGCCATCTGTGGCCCACATCCTGTTGGCTCGGCATGCCAGCTTGGTATATGAATTCCTCCACAGC